CAAATATAATGAAGTTGAAAGAATTTTTTCAGTGAATACCCATTCCATTGTCCATCCTTAATATACTAAACATTCCCTATCACATATTTAGTCCATGTTCTACCCATCTATCCATCATCCATCCATATTTTTTCCCAGAGGAAATTGTAAGTTGCTTGATTCTCTCAAATATTAATTTTTGTATTGCTAGTTGGGGTTCCATATTACTTTTTCTTCTCTACAAGCTTATATCTCTAAAGTTTTCTGATATATACTAGGAAAAAGAAAGATGACTAAGAACACATTGTTTATTTGTGCGAGTTATGTATATGGGGGGAAATCAAAGCCAGGGTCTTGAACACGTTAGGCAAGAATTTGTACTACTCAGCTACACCACAGAGATTGTTTATTTACTACCAATAGATGCTAATATTACTGTTAATCTTCTCATCTGCTCATCTAGGAGTTTGTAAAAGAGCTTAATTCGATGTATAAAAACATCTCAACAGAGCAAACATATTACTGTAGATAACATTCTGGGAATTCACTGGTAAAAGTGTGCCCCATTCATTTCAAATGAACAATGCTAGGAATGTGGTAGACAATACTCATGTGGTAGAAAGCTTCACTTAACCTCCATTTTACATAGAGATGACATAACTCAATATAAAGAGCCTCTGTATCATTTAGTAGGAGTATTTAGTGGAGGGCCATTGTTTTAGGTAAAGCTGGAATGAACATGCAACATTGATAAATGCTGATTGCCAACAGCACAGCCACTTTTACCAATTAAGGAAGAAATACGTGGATATTTAACAAGAAAAGTAGCACAAAGGCTTTTCAAAGGGCACAACGCCATGTAGAATAGAATGCTCACTTTTATTAGAAAAACGACAAAGAGGAACTGCTTGAGAAATTTCAAACTTGAAGATAAAAAATGTCAAGATTTGACCTATTAAATAATGCTACTGCACATGATCAGAGAATAAACTTTTAGACTTCAAGATGTAAAGGTCATTTTCAGCTAGCACAGTATTGTAATATGTTAAGTACCATCTTCCATCTGTGTGTAGCATGTCAAGTTATGCATATCGGAGAAGCTTCACACTGCATTGTTCACACAGAACTAGATATTTAAATAACATTTTAACAGAGACTATTACATAGATAAACAGTGAAAACAGAAGGATGGTGGCACGCCTCTTGAGTTTTGTGCTAAAACCTGATTCTTGAAGATCTGTCCCATTTTATGCAAAGCTCTCACCGTGTGGTAATTTTAAAAACAGTTTGAGGAGAACAGCTGCTGTTTACATTTGCACTGACAGCCAGATTCTTCCTTTCCTTAGTAGTGTTTACTGCTTTCTATCTCTCGTAGTGTAACATTGTTGCAGGATGTATAGCGATGCTACATCAAAAGAATTGGCAAGGGAAGACACTCTGATATGTAGTTAAAATGTGTGTATCATACCACAAAAAACTTTGTGTGTGAAAACCTAAGAATGAATGAATAATGGATCCATCAATTAAAATGCACACTGCCCACAAACAATGAAACACATAAAGTTGATTTCTTTATAGCAGATGCCATAGCATCAAACAGGCCTAAGAAAAATAGAAAGTTTAGGATGATAAAAGTGCATGAATAAGACTCTGTGGGATTTGACTGGTTTGTGCAAACAAAGGCCTATGAGCTGCTCTGACTCTGAGCAATGAACAGATGCAATCACCTGTGGTGGAAAAAACATTCCAGAAAGGAATAGGAACATTTCCCCTCCTATTCTCCTACATGACTACAAGAGGGAGGTAGGCTGCCCTAATTATGAGTGTGTTTAAACTTTCCCTCTATTTCAACGTACTGTATCACTTGAACATTCACCCTGCAAACAAAAACAACTGAGGGAGAGCAGTAACATCCTAACTTTGAAATCTTGTTGCATTTTATTTCATATCAAGAACTGTTCATTTTAGAAGTAGGACCATGATATTCATAATAATGAAGTTAATGCTTACAGTCTCTAGGCTCCATGTGCCCAGTGATTACCCCCCTCCTCATCCATAAAAGGGGAAATCTCTGAGGGCTAGTTTTTTCAACAGTAACAGTATCAGATAATTGCATTTAAAATAACTTTCTGAAAATGCACGTTCAAATGAGTTCCAAAACATGGGAAGAACATCAAAAAAAACTTGCTCGTTAGTTTCTAGGAACTCAGTTTTCCACACACCAAGTAAATACATAAATAAATAAATAAATAAATAAATAAATAAATAAAT